GGAAAAACGGGAAATATCCGGGAATTTGAAAAGTAACCGGGAAAACCGGGAAAAACCCGGGAATCCGGTGAGAGAACCGGGAAAATTAATTAACCATACCATAGGAACAAATTTTTACATCAGAATTTCAGAATAAATCATTAAAACAGAGTGATCCTTTACCAAATGAATGTCTTGCTCTATTTGCTGTATAATTTTCTTCAGGTTCCCGTGTTATTGTTTTTAGAATTTAATCACTCAGCAATATTGTAAATTTATTTTTGTCGTCTCAATTTCAGATGTAAAGTGCATGGTTCTCAAAAGAAAATATTGAAGATGCTGGACTTTGGAAACACATATTTGTAAAAACCGAAACTGAATTATTCTTTTCCGGGGGTTAATTTTTCGTTGTTCAAAATTCTCATGACATGAGTTCCAGAATTACCTTGGAATTTTGCTCTGAATTATCTTGAAATTGTTCCTTAAATAAACCATAAAACACTCCGCTTAATAGTTGCCGTTGAATTCTTTTTGGAATTTCCTTGCAACCTCTTCTAAGAATTTAATTGAAATGCTTCTTAGAATTCCCTTAAGCCTATCCGGAGACTTTGATTCCTTTGAAAATATTTTCAATAATTTCTTTTAACTCTACTCAAAACAGCTGAAATATTTCGAAATTTTATTTAGAAACCCCTTTAAGTATTTTGAAGAATTTCTTTCTAATTCTCAGCAATTTTTTTGCAATAAATTTTGTTGGAGTTCTTTGATGAATCTTTCGCACTAGGGTTTAAATTATTACCAGCACAATCTAAGAACTCTGTTTCTTGTTGAACTCTGATCATAATTCTCTTGGAATTCTTCTTAAAATTCATCTCTAATTTTCTTCACGATATCCATACAAATCTCATCAGGAACTTTCCGCAATGTGTTGTTTTTGACAACTCCTTTTTAAATCTTCTAAAATTACCTAACAATTTAATTTAGAATTTGCATTCTTCTCCACAGAAATCCTTCCAAATTCATCCAACAATTACTAGGGTTTTCATGTCAGAATAATTCTGGAAATCTGCTCAAAACTTTTCTTTCGAAAACTGTGTGAGAATCTTTCTCAATATTTGTTTGAAATCAACACTGTGAATTCTTTTAAAATTTACTAAAAATTCCAGGGTTTGTCCGCTAGATGCTATAGATTGTTATGTAATTTGTTATAACCCTTAAAATGCTTCCAAGTCTCAGAGCGTGACAATTATGACTCCACGACTCATAAGTATAATATTTATTTAATTTTTCATCTCTAAAATATTGAAAAAATTTCAAAATCTCACATTTTAATTATTTTTACTCCAAATCTTGCATCACAAATATTGTTATCAATCACAATTTAAAAAAAAAAAAGTTCCAGTTTCAGACACTACTCAAATTTTAAAGCCCCAGAATCTTGGGAATCTTCTTAATTCACAGTTTTTGTCCTTTCAGAACGTTTTTAAAAATGTGTTTAATTTGGTTTTTTTGTTTAATATTAACAACCGGGAATTATTTTATTTAAACCCGGGAAAAACCGGGAATTTCAAAATAAAAATTCACTGGCCACCCTGCTGTTCTGAAAAAAAAAAGTTCAAAAATATTCCGAGAAGAACCTCAACGATATTGAATTCTTATGACAGTTCCAAAATATTTCTTGGGAGAATTCAAAGAAAACTCTGCGGATAATTTTTAGTGCATCTTGCAGATAGTTCCAAGATTATTTCGAAAAGAATACCGTGAAAATCATATTTTGAGTGAAATTCCAAAGGGATTTTAAGCAAAATTTCAAGCAAATGCCGAGAATAATTTTTAGCTCATTCAGTTCCATTGTGTTCTGAGAAAAAATCATGAAGATTTCTAAATATAATTCCAGTGAACTTCTGAGAAGAATTTCAAAAGAGATCTTATGAGATTTTTGAAAAAATCCGAGAAGAACCTCAAGACCTCAGAACCTCAGGACAGTTCCAAAGGATTCCTGGGGTGTATTCCAAGAAAATTCTGCGTATAATTTCTAGTGAATCCTGCAGAATACATAGAAAATAAAATTTTGAGTGAAATTCCAAAGGGATTTTTAGTAAAATTTCAAGGGAGTACTGATAATTTCTAGCTCTAACCGGGAATAGTTTTTTTTTAGGAAATTCTTCCGAAACTCCAAGGGAATTTCAGTTGCAAGGTGTTCAGAGTAAAAGTCAAGAAGAGATCTAAAAATAATTCCAGAGGACTTCTGCGAAGAATTTCAAAAGAGCTCACAGAGTTCTAAAAATTTCGAAAAAAACCTCAAGGAATTCTGAGGATGGACTTTTTCGCAACTGTACAAAGTTTAAAGACAGCTTTTGTATTCCCTTGAAATACCCTTGAAAAGTGGGTATTAGTTTGCCTTTGAAACTTGGCCTTACAAAAAAAAAAAAAAATCGTCAAGAATCTTCTCTGAAAATTTCAAGTCATTTTTACCGTAGTTAAAAAGTAACAGCTTCGGGTTTGTCCTTTATATCATCTTTAAAACATGTTGCATGCTCGGAATCATTTTCTGTCACCCCGACTGGTGGTACTTTGGGACGGTTCACGACGGATGGGATTAAATTGCCAAATTCCATTGGCTGTCTGAAAGCAGTTTGCATTGAAGATGATGAACCACCACCGGAGCTAAAAATAAATAAAATTAGCTAAATTAAACAGTAGGGAAACAGTGGTGGGTGGACAGCAACATCTCCCACGCACTTTGGAGTGGTCCCCATCCCCAGATTAAATGCACCATAGAAAAAAATTGCCCCTCCTTAACAAGATTCCTGTGCACGCTAGTGCACTACGTTTGTTTTGATATGCTATGAAAGTTTGACAGATAAAATGAAGGGTTCATGGATTTTCCTATGTTTTGAGGAGGGGACCGATTAGCTTGGGACCGAAGATAGTACCAGAGCTGAATCAAAAAAGTTGAGCACGTTTCTTCGGGACCTTCTGGTCTTAGAGTTCTATGCCAATACCATACTAATATGGTTTAATTCTGAACAGTAGCTATTCACTTTTGACGAACTAAGGCCAATTAAACAAGCGTGTCCATCAGGTATTAAGTCATTCCGTGGAGGAATACCCTCATCGAGCAGGCATTCAAAACTGTGTGGAACTGGCGACTGACAGCGCCTATCAATTCACCGTAATCTTCATGATTGCTCTATAGTTGATTCCGTTTGAATGACAAGTAAGAGAGATACCTACCGTGGATGTGCACCTAGGTTAGTTACTCCATTTTCAATGTATCAATTAGCACATTGAGAATTCTATTGGGGTGGCGATGGTCATGTGCTGATAGCGAAGACGCGACGACGTGATTCCAAATTGACATAAGATATCGGCCACTTGCCGGGATCACGTAGTATATTTTGCTGTTAGTATTCAGAGGGAAACCGCAAACATGAACAACTTTTGCGGTTGCGAAGTTCGATTACGCTTTGGCAAGCTAATAAGCCCCGGATCGGCGTTGCTAAGCAGTTGACAGAGCCGACATGATGATGACTGTTCCGGCTCATTTGATACTGGGAACTTTGATGCAGTCCAATTGCCACCAACCGACGACAACCGGTCGGGTATTTGCGCATTGCAAACACAACCATTTGTTTGTTGACATTTTATATCCATTTGATACGAGGCTACCTATTTGTTTTGATTTCGTTTCGCGCTCCTCTGCCGGCTCTGTGCGTCGTCGTTCACTTGGATGTGGTGAGTGAGATGCCGGGCGAATGTAAACAAAAAGTAACCTATGATTGCGGTGGGAGTTTGCATTGGTCTTTATTTGACAATAATAATTTTTAAGTTTAATTGGGATCTTAAATTCCAGCACACATATTGATTTTTGTACTTTATCTGAAATCCAATGTTGAATAATGGTTTTGTTTAATATGGAACTCTTAAACAATGGCCAGACTGGGGAGTTATAGCAGGTTATAAGGTATCTTGATGATGCTCTTCTTAGTCAAGACAATGCGATTGTCTACACAGAGAAAAACATACCCTAAATTTAAGATCTTTTTATTTAATTTTGGGTTATTTTGAATTTTGCATCCCACTCTCACTTTTTGTTGTTGTCAAAAACTGAACGGGAGATTCGATTTTCTCATGACTATCGTTCAATAAGCTATTAGTGAGTATAGGAGATATTTTCAAATTTGAGTCAATTGAACTTAATTTTGCGTATAAAATACTCACAAGTAAGTAATTATTTTTGCCGTAGTCTTTGCCGTAGTATGTAAACTACTATAAGCGGTTTACTGAAAATTAGCTTATTGAACGGAACATGGGAGATGAGTTATTTTGGGTAATTTTTCGGTTCCGGGTAGCATATGAGTTTATGAAACTTAAAACAAAAAAAAAACTGCGAATGAACTGGATTCGAACCTTAAATTCATTAGTGTCGTATGAAATCAAAACCGTCCAAGATCAGTAGTCATGCCTTTTAAGATTCTTAAGTTTTGGTGCCTCAGTGCATTTTTTTCGGAGAACTTCCGAGGGATGGTTAATCTTCAGAGAATCCCATTCCCAAATATCAAACCGGACCTTGAACAATAATGAATTTATGACGAGCCCAATCAGGAATCGTCAATTACACTGTATGTACATAGGATTCCAATCGTAGCTGGTGTCGAATTTTGTCAGTTCAAACACGCGCGGAAAATTGCGTAAGCAACGAAAAAAAAAATGCCCGGTTGTAAATGCAATCTTCTTCATTCTGCTTATCGCAAAATTCATTATTATTGTTTGAAAGCACTCGATATCGCATCGTTGCTCGCTGTCCGTCATCGATAACACATCCAAAACAATGGATTTTTTTCTACTTATAAGCTGCGTAGGTGTTTGCCTCTCGAGTGCCCGTTCTTCTTATTGATTCACAGATATTTCTTTGAACTTTATCTATTATTATGTTTTCATATTCTGCAGACACGGACGAGGGCTGTGTAATCGATTGCACATTTATTTATGCGGTTATATTTTCTGTTTTATTGCAGTTTGTTTGAGCAGCTGTCAACTAACAGAGAACGGATTGCACGAGCCGATCTCAAACGCTGACGCCATCACGCTTTCCAACAGGACGTCATCTCGAATCGGCCGCCGCCGCTGCCCACCATGGAAAAGCTGAGGGCGGCTAAAAAAGTCGCCCCGGATGGTGGCTGGGGCTGGGTCGCCACCTTCGGCGTCAGTTTGGTCAATGTAAGTATTTGCAATATTTCATTAAATTTCGCTTCAAATCACTCGAAATCAAATTCCGACGCCTGCTTCGATCCGCCCACGCGCTTGCACGCTTTTATTTTTCGGATTGCTTTGTTTGGTTTTTATGTTTCTCCCTTTTTTTGTTTTTCAAATCTTATATCTAGCTATCAACGCGCTCGATAGAGCCTTCGTTTGGGTTGCTGTTTGGCGATTTGCTGAATGATTTGCAAGTAGGCACGACGGGAGCGGCCATCATCATCAGCGCGCTGGATGTGATGATGAACTTTTCCGGCCTCTTTGTGGGACCCCTGTTGAAGGAGTTCTCCTACCGGAAGGTGGCCATCGCCGGATCACTGCTTTGCTGGCTAGGGCTTGCGCTTACCTCACCGGCCACCAGCATGGCGCACATTCTGGCCACCTACAGTGTGATAAACGGTAGGTTGCTTGGTTTGGTATGATCCTTAGGAGTAGTTTCGTTTTTTTTTCTCCAAATGTTCATCATTCTTTTTGACCATTCTCTCTCTCTTGTTATTTTGAAGTTCACTTCACCGTTAACAACTTTCATGATTTCTGTCACAAAAGGTCCGAAGACAAAGACGGGCTATCCATATAGGGGAACTGGGGGTAAAATGAACAGGTGGGGTAAAATGAACATGTAGTGAAATCACGGCAAAAATAGTTAAATTCAGAACCACATTATCAGCTACCCTATCCGAAGAGTATGTTAAGCTGTTTGAAACACCCTGTACTAATCAGGAGCTGTCAAATGAGAAGAAAAAAAAATCAAAACTAAATTACCGGCTCGATTCGGACTGTGAAAGTTATTTACGCTCGCAGAAAATAAGCTTTTTGAAAGTGAACAATCGAAATCTAACCAAATATAGCCATCAGTTTCGTTAACTTGACGAATTCCTGCGGATTTATCGAAGACTGTAAGTATTTTCATCAATAATTCGATTTAAATTAGCACTCGAAAACAATTAATGCTCTGGGGGTAAAATGAACAGTTCATGATGGGGGTAAAATGGACAGACACACAAATGGCAGCGGCAATGTCTGTAAGAGCTGCATCTATCAAATACCAGATCCCAAGGATCACGCTCGCCCGCAGAAGAAGAAACGCCTAGGATCGAAAACATTGGTGTTCTCTACTGAACAGGAAATGGAACTGGTGCAACCGTTCAGTCACAAACTAAAGATGGCAGGTAGAAACTGGCTAGAGGGGTTTCTTAAGCGGAATCGAACCCTTTCCTTTCGGAAACCTGAAGCTACATCTGCGGCTCGAGCAAGAGGGTTTAACAAAGTTTCCGTGGGTGCTTTTTACGACATTCTTGGTGACACATTGGACAGCAAGCAGTTTCCTCCGTCACGCATATTCAATGCTGACGAAACCGGTATTAGCACGGTAAATTTTATAGTTTTCTTTTAACATATTTCATATTTACTTTAGCATTGTAACAAACACAGGTCCCTCCGAAAAAGATGAAAATTGCTGCTTAGAAAGGGTCCATAACATCGGGTAAGAGAGGTGTATTAACCACCGTAATGATGTGCATGTCCGCGCCAGGGCAACATGTGCCGCCTTACATGATTTTCCCCCGAGTACGCATGCACGATGCGCTTAAAAAAGGAGCACCGAATGGCACGAAGTTCAACTGCAATCCTTACATGACCAGTGAAATCTTCCTCGACTGGTTTAACCACTTTCTGGTAAACGTAAACCCTACGATGGAACACCCTGCACTCCTGATAATTGATGGTCACAGCTCCCACATCAAAAATCTGGCATTTGCTGAAAGAGCTCGTGCTAATTTTGTTACAGTTCTCGTGTTGCCGCCACATTGCAGTAACAAAATGCAGCCCTTAGATGTGGCTTCCATGGGACCATTTAAAAGTTACTACGCGAGAGCTTCTGAGGACTTCATGCATCAAAACCCAGAACGAACCATTGGACTATATGACGTCTCCAAATTGATGGGTGCCGCTTTTCTCAAGGCTGCTTCTGCTAGTGTGGCCACGAGTGGTTTTCGGAAAAGTGGTATTTGGCCATACAATCGAAATGTCTTCAGTGATGATGCCTTTGTCCCAGCTGAAGTTACAGATCAACCAGAAACCATTACTGTAACATTAATCACAGTGACAAGTCCGATGGTAGTTGATGAATCCACAGTGCAGCAAGTAACGCTTCCGGTTTTTACCATTGATTCAGTTCCACCAGAACACCACGATAGCACAGACGAGCTTTTAATTGGTAGACCAGATTCTTCTTTTGTCGCTCAAGTTGATGCAGTTTCTGAAACCTCTCCGAACTCATCATTCAACATAACACCGTCTCAAATTTTACCTTTGCCGAAGATGTCTATTCCTAGAGTAACAAAACGAAAGCGTAAATCGGAAAAGGCAGTGGAGATAACCACCGAAAGCTACCGTCAAGACCTGGCTACAGCTGAGGCAACAAAAACCATCAAGTCGATCAAGAAAGGGCGAAAACTACCAAAGAAGCGAGTTAAATTTCAAATATCGGATGAACGTTGCGAAGATACCGTATGCGAATTGTGTGGTGATTCTTTTTCTGATTCAAGTGATGGTTATGGGTGGAGGAAATGCCTCGCCTGTTTGAATTGGCTTCATGCTAAATGTAGCAACGATGATGGTTTTCGATGTCGCATATGTAACTGATACATAACTCTTTTGATTTGTTGATTGTTGAATTACGACTCATTATTTTGATTTGTTCCATGAATTATTACTGATTGAATAAATGGTTTTGTACCTTAATTACCGTTTTTTACCATTTTACCATATTTTTTTTATGATAAACAGCTTTTATGAGGAAACCTTATCATGTTTACCTAATTTTAATACTAGATGTTTAATTTATTCGTGGAAAGTACTGGCGAACTCGGCATTTCCCGGCATTTATTTTGGAAACGTTTATTCCTAACTGTATGCAATGTTGTTTCTAAAGCTATGTTGAAGATTTACAGTTTACGTAATCGTTGAAAGATAACTATATAAAATAATGTTAATTCCCCCCCCCCCCCGCACTGGAGCAAACTACTCCTTCTGTATGTTCATTATGCCCCCACTACATGTTCATTTTTCCCCGAGCATCTGTTCATATTACCCCCACTGTATGTTCATTTTACCCGCATATAAAAATCAGCCTTGTATTATGAGCTGGTGGAAATACAGGAATTATATTGAAAACTTGTTGTTTTTGATACATTGCTATAGTTCACTATTTTAAATATGAAGGGAAGCTTAATGTTACGCAGTAAGACAAATATTTTATTAGTTTATAAAAGAGAAAACGGTGGAATTGCTTAGGGTGTTCATTTTACCCCCAGTTCCCCTACCACGTGGGCAGTTTGGGAAAGGGAGAAAAGTTGGCAAATGTCCACGGTCCATACAAATTTTTAACATTTTATGTGGATGATTGATAACGCAGAGCTAGGGCACGCTATGTCTGAAGGCACTTTTTTTGCAACATTCATGTACCTCAGATTTTCCTTGACAGGATGTTAGTATTGATCCTAAAAATCAAATCTGTGATGGTTTTAAAATATTTCATCTTGGGTTTTTTGAGAAAAAGTGTTTTGAAGTTTACAAAGCCGATTATGAAGGCATATATGGACTATTGACGATACAAAACTATTACGAATTGAACAAATGCACTACAAGGTTCAAATGATGATTGCATTAATCCAAATGGCATTAAATAGTTCTCTTTGACTCTCAAGTAAGATCCGTATTGATTATGTCGACTTTGACCACAGCAATTAATATTTTTTGCTAGAACAACTTCTAAATCTCTCTTCCCTCATAAGAGTAAAAGAGAAAGAAACGAGCAGGACAGTCTGAGGCAGCCACGTAATCGTAGTAGGCATTGATTTTCGTCCTGTTTCGAGTGTTTTTGTTTTTATTGGAGGTATCGTGTACAAAATCTGGAGAAAAATATTTAAAAAAACTGCATGAAGAAAATAGAGAGTTCGCTTGTTGTGCTTCGAAAAAGCAACTTTGTAAAAAAAATCAAGCCACTTTAGTAGCGATGATCGTTGAAAGATTTTTACTGGAGTTCAATAAAGGAGATAGTAGGTATCCGAAAGTTTTGTGTCCCGTACTCAGCAGGTGGTGAAGTTAAATAAGCTTGGATTTAAAAAAATATAGATGTTTGACTTAATGGCGAGATCGAAAATAAATTCTGGCACCCATGACGAATTGGTTTGAAAATCGTCTTTCCGATAATACAGGAATGAAACTCACAAGGTTAGCTATGTTTGCCCAGTGAGTTTAGGTAGTCCTAACCTTGAATTACAACAGAATTGCTAAAGCTTCATTGCAATTCCCATATTTTGAATAAGGAAACATTCAGTAAGGTTCAGCGACTTTCTAGGAAATTTTGCGAACTATAGGGAACTGTAGTGAATTTTAGGAAAGTTCGGCAAACTTTAAATAAGTTCCTCCAAAGAAGCAGAAAAATTCAACAACTTTCAAAGAAGTTCATTGAACTTCAGAAAAATTCTTCAAACTTTAAAGGTGTGCTTCGCTCTCCAGATCTGCCAACTTCAGGGACATTTTGTGAGCTTCATATGAGTTGAATGTCCTCCTGGTAAGTTCTACGAACTTCAAGAGAGTTCTATGAACTATAGAAACATTATATGAATTTCAATGATGTTCTGCAAACAGTTCTTTAAACGTGAGGAAATTTTTGCAAACTTTAGGATGTTCTGTGAATCACAGGGAAGATTTAATAACATTAGGAAAATACTATGAATTTTAAAAAAATATCTGAAAATTTCAGGAAAAAAAATCAAGAACATCAAAGAAAATCATGCAAGTTTGAAGAATTTCATCGAAGTTCAACGAAATCAAGAAAAAACTTATGAACAGGGATTTGAATTTGAATGTAACTTCTATAAGCTGTATCATCGGGTCGTTGGTGGAACAACTCTTATAAAACAGGTAAAATAGTGAGAATTTGTTGCGATATCTCTTTCTCTTTTTCGCTTCCTTTATGAAATGTGATCGAGGGCATGAGCAGGGTGGAAGGGCGTAAAAATGAGATTTTATCACCTAAAAAAATCGTGAGTACGGCTCACGCATGTTACATTTCCGTTTACCGGTATAAAAAAGGAAGCAGTTTATGAAAATTGAGGTTCACAAATATCCAGAAGAAAGATATTAACAAGAAGTTCAAACCAAACTCGACAGTCAAAGTTGTGCGGGTGTGTAGATATTTGTAAGAAAAAAACACCACAGAAAAAAATCAATTCATAAAGAATTTCAAATTATGTCGGACGCAGGTTTCTCCTGAGAAACGTCATGCATATAGTGAACACTGGAAACTTCAGAATCTCTCCAAATTGGCAGATGAAAGTAAGCATCACTTTGTTGCCAAAAGCATTAGATAGTTGGCAGGCAAAAAACTAGCC